GTAGATGGGAGCCAGCCTGAGCCAGGTTGGCTCAGGTTTATTTCAGCTTTACTCTCGTTGCATCTTTGCCTCTGTAAACGAGCCAGGTTTGATTCCTGCCCAAGTTGGCATATATATAGGCGAATCTGGTGACCATGAATGCTCTCTCCGGTCATTTAAAGATGGCCCCCACTAATGGCAGAAAGCACTGTGGTTACATTAATTTTACATGGAGTCAATGCTTCATGACAGTTGCTTCATACAAAACCCAACACAATTTTTATGCTTTCTGCCATTAAAGAAGGCCACTGAAAATTTCAAGCATACTGTGAAATATGTCAGTGAGTTTGTCCATATAAATTCAGCTTATACATTTCCTTTCAGAGTTTTCACCTAGAAAATTACTACAGGGTTTCCTCCAACCATTTTACATTTTTCTTTACCTTTTCTTAATCTCCACACCTGATATGTAACAATGTAGTAGACTTCTCTGATCAGAATCCTTGGTTTTATTTACCCAAAATACAAAGACTATTCTCCAGAATGTGGCCATGCCCTTCTTTTGCATTGTGAAAGGTTCCATATGCAATGCCTGTACATGTAAGCTCCTTTCATTACAAGTGGTCACCGACAAACCATGCACAAGAGAAAAATGGTCATCTTTCACAATTTTGGATGTACATATGATAAATACATAACTGACCACCCATAGACATACCAGCCGCAGGGTTCTTGTGTACTGTAGTCTGTATCGGCAAAACGCATCATAATTTGGATATCTCTGGAATGTTAACTTGTGTACTGAATGTTCCCCCTCTGGACTGGGGGCACGTCTGGAGGGCTGCATCCAGAGTGACTGCATTCATGTTTATTTGGAAGTCCTTGACAAGATTGGGAGCCAGACCAAACTATGCGCACCAGAAAGCTCGCCCCTGGCTATGTCTGCCGCTCTGAAACACTGTTGCCAACTAGATGCTTCCGATAGAACAGGGGCATAGTAAGGAACGACGCCAACATCAATGCCACTGATGAGCTTGACTTGCTGTGAGGGCCCAACAGAATATTAAACCAACACTTTGAAACAGCTTGGGCACTGTGTGGATGAACAAACATTTAAAAAAGGAAAGTACTGCCTTGTTTCTTATTCACAAGGGCAGAATACAACACAGATTTCTCAGTTCACCTATTGTTCCAAGTCGTCAGCTGTAAAGGATGCTGAACCTTCTTTTCAGTCCAAACCCTTTCAAGCACATGTATATTAAAACTTGACACTGGACTAAATAATACTTGTAAAATGCTACATTGATTTCACCAGGTGATCTCGGTAGGCCAGAACAGGGTCCCAGTAGAAGTAGTTGTTGCAGAAATGTACTGAAATTTCAAATGTGCTTCAAAGAGGCACGTTATCATTCAACCATCTTGCAACAGGAAGTTCCAGTGCAAGGCCATCAAGGGTAACAGAAGTCACCAAAAGTTCACGGAAGAGTGCTGCCGAGAAAGTGCAACAGCACGCCCGATTACCAACTTGCTGATTGACTGTCATTTTCAGATGGATTAGTGAATGACTTGTGTTAATATGTCCCCCCTGCAGGACGCATCCCCCCAGAAGAAAAGGAAATTGAAGATTTATCACTGACGGTCTGTGCCTGCCGCGCAAGTTCCCTTCTGGTGTCGGGGGATGGAGTAAGGGCTTAAGAATCAATCCTCATTACGGCTCCGGGCTTAATTGATCTTGTTTATGAGGTTCCTCACCATCCTATGTACAACAGGTGGTGGCAGGCCGGACTGGGACCTTGAGAGCAACACTTGAGAGGAAAAATGCTCATTTTTTTTACTCACCCTTCTTACAACTTCTCAAGACATCCAGTCAAGCCCCGGATTTGAACCAACAAATCGGCCCTAACAAGCTCAGTGGCTGAGTGCTTAGGATGTCCACAATAGCATGTGTAAGACAGTACACGAAGGGGGAGGAGAAGGGGATGGGAGTGAGGGGATTTTTAAGAAAGTGTTTAAAATGCTCTCACAAGCTATCAGACAGCTGCCACTAGTTTTACAGTTCTAAATAAATTACCGGTACATTAGTGATAGGCAAAATAAAAGTGCACCTTTGATTTAAAAATTAAAATTCCAAAGGCACTGTCAGAATCCCTTACATTCTGTCACAGATTTGTTGCAAACCACTTACAGAGGTTGACAACCAACAGAGGGCGCTGTCTGCCTGTATTGGGATCACTGGCCTAAGGCACTTGAAGCACTTAAACATAGAAAGGCCATCAAACTTATATAAATGCCCTTTGTTGTCACAGAAAAAAAAACCCAATTTCTTGTCATATGCTTTTAAAAAGCCAAGTATAAAAAAGCATCCTCTGTTTAGAAATGTTCCCCAGGACTATTTACCACCATCCACATATCTCAGGCTGGCTTATGTCTCATGCGGGGGAAAGAACAGAAGAGAAAATACAAGTAGCCAACACAGACACTTCAAAAGCAAAAAGAAAGCTACAGACGCATTCACAAGCACACCACCAAGAGGTTCATAAGGACAAAGCTCAAGACCAAGGTAAGAAGAAACCAACGAGTTATCATGGATCAACGTCAGGTGAACAGCAAGACTGGGGATTTACATTCTGACAAACAGGAATTCTTTGATAGCATGAAAATATCCAACTTAAAAATCAGACAAAATGGACCATGTTTTATTTATGTTTTAGATTTATTTTCCAATCTCAATTTTTTAATTTACAAAAACAGGCTACTCCTTACAGACCCTTTAATTTAATTGTTAACAATTTTCAGCCATTACAAATTTGACTTCAAAGTATTCTTTAAATTCTGCACGATGATTTCCATGAACAGTGTAAACAGTAGGATCAAATTGCTATTTTGCAGCCATCTGTATGAAACAAAATGATTAAAATTAACAGTAAAATTCCTCAATGCAGGGCACTGCTACCGCAAGCGCCATCCAGTTAGTGTGGCAGCCTTACAGTAAATCAGTGAGTCACTGCTCAACAGTCATGTGACTGCTAAACAGTCAGGTGACTGTTAAACAGTCATGTGTTGGTGTGAGGAATGTGCTTTTCTACAGCTTTTACGGCATGCAGATATGACAAGCTGTTCCTCACTTCAGGAGTAAAGACCAGACCGCAAAATAACAGGTGTATGAAGTACAGGCAAAGGCAGACAAAACTGATGACATTGTATTGACTGCTATTTGTCTGGATGATGCTGCCTCCTCTCCACTCTTACGGGATACAGTTCCCAAGTACAGATGCAGGTAGAATAAGGTCTCTGTTTGTGCCAGCGTGGATATTCAAATAGAGTTGACACTGTGTCAGAGGTCATAGGGTCAATGACATGCTGGCCATTCTCAAACTTCGAGTTTTTCCAAATTTCAGTCTTGCTACCATGCTAAGTTTTGGGCACCAGTTCCTGAATTTTGCCCTCTTCCCACAACTCCCCACTCCCGAGTTGAGACCCTCGTGTACAATACAGCTCCATTTCCTGCCAATCTGTAATTTAGGCCAAGTCTAGGAGTACCTGTACTTCCGGTTCATTACAATAACAGATGTTTGGGAGTAATTGTAGAACTCAAGATCAAACAGAGACACCACAGAGATTCATAAAAAAGGTCCTTGGTGTCAAGCGACAGTTACCGAGTTTGTGCTCACAATAGCCGTCTTACTGCTGTCCACATTTAAACTGACCCAAGTCTTCAATCTATTCATTAGAGAGACAGGTTTCTGCAGGTTTATGACTCAGTGATGTCCATGGAGCTTGGCGCTAACTAGCAGATATACCATGGCCTTATTGACTCCAAAACTACAGGCTTTTTTGTGCTCTAACTGATTGGACAGAGGGCAGTTTTCTGCACCAGTGATCTTGAGTTTTGCTTTTTGTTTCTACTGAGCTCACACACCGGCTTCTCTGGTTTCAATGTACAGTACAAAATGCTACACAATCTAAGATCTCCATCACAACGTTAACCACTTCGCGCCAGGAGCATTATGAATGTTGATGATGCTGGGACGGGATAATTTTCTTTTTTTTTTCTTTTCCTGTTTTCAAAATTCTTTAAAAATTCATATCTTCATTTACTGGACACTTACACCCACACAAAGAACTGCCTATTGATGCTGGAGAATTTCAGCCAGGCCTGCTGCCTTGTAAAAGGATCCCAGATTGTGCAGTGTTACATAATTTTCTTTTGTTCACGGACCTGGCACAGTGCGCTGCTGACCTCTTTTCGATAGGGGCCAGGTTAGCGTGCAGCGGTGCTGTGTGGCTCACCACTGTAGTGGTGGAGCGCTTTTGTCCCAAGGGGTAATCCGTTTGCGCTGAATCCCCAAAACCGTAGTATACTGTTTCAAAACAAGGCTGGATTATCTCCACTATTGAGAGTGAAAAAATGTCGGTGATGCCAGCAGCCCGGTCTTTTGTAATGAGTACGGTCTTTTGTTACAAGGCCCAGCTCCCTTTGTCCGATTTCAGAGCCCCCTGCCACGCGTATAAAGAATACAGTTCCGGTACCGGCAAACCCATTTTTATGCATATGTTTTGGCACAGAACATATCTCTGAAGACCAAAGTTAATATTATGCCAGACTTATTTTTTTAAAAAGGGCTGACTCTATTGAACAATAGCTAAGACAGCTGTCTCCACCGATTTCACTTTAAGGTTTAATCTTTCACTTGCTCTACTGGTGCAGGAATAATCAGCTGGAGTAATACTTCCAGAGTACTGGGAGACTTTCTGAATGTACAGTGATCATGCGATAACCACGTCAATTCGTTGAACAGTTTTCTGCAGGAAACACTGGTAAGCTGCCCTTCCTGAGATGCCTGTGCCCATTAACAGCATAGTGTGACAGGAAATTTTGAGAAATATTTCTGGATTGTCAAAACATGATTAGCTGAGCCGATTCGCACTGACGACCAATGAGTTCCCCGAGTCTTCTCTGTACATCAGTGAAACAAAGCAAGTTGAACAGAGTAGAGGCAGTTTGTTATTCTCAAACTCACCAGTCAAGTCAGGTGGAAATCTGATGAACGACAGCTAGAAGACCAGCTTCTTTGCCAACCGCCCTGAGGAATGGACACAAAAACCAAGGTAAAGAATGTCATTTTACAGTGTTGCAAGTACCGTCAGCTGATGTGTGGTTATCAATGAAAATACAAATGCCTTCCGTAAACTGGTCCCACAGTCCATCAGATTGGTCAAAATATAGCTGACAAGCACGTATGGAACGAGAATTTGCTTGGTGGTTAACCACGGTTCCTTCACCATCTAATTTGCTCATATGTGTAGATATCTCAAACAGGCTATCCAAGCTTTATCTACCAGTCAAATAAACCAATCTTTTTTTTTTTTACCTGAATCATCCAGTTGCTTTCTCTTGATTGCTGCCCTCGTGTGTTGCTGCTCTTTTAGGACAGCGGCTGGTGCGCCGGGCATTGGTAAATCTCTACCTGGGGTTGGGCCCGGCTTGTTGCTGAAATATTTCATCTTAAGAGCCTGAAAAAAAAAGGGGCAACAGAAATAATTAATGATTTACCATCAGCTGGGCTTAAATGAATAATTTTACAAACTACATGAAAGACTAAGGACTTGTGACAATTGCTTTTTTAGTGACAATCAGACTTGACAACAGGATATAATCACCAGCGCTAATCTGGCAACATTCCAACTGTGGCAATTTAGCCTGGTCTACAGTTTTGACAACCTGCAACGGATAAGACTTGAAGGTTTTCATGGTGAAAGAAACTAGATAAGTAATATGATTGCGGTTGCACCATGTATCAATCTCTTTCTTGAGTATGTGTGGTTCTGAGAAGAACCGCGGAGTAACTCTCCTGAAGACGGACGGAGTACACTGTTCGAAACGTCGAGTTATTCCCCGGTTCTTCTCAGAGCCACACATACTCAAGACAGAGATTGATACATGGTGCAACCGCAATCATTTTACTCAACCTGCAACGCTTTATATTTTAAAAGGGTGGGTCAAAATTGGATACCAAATTTAGAACATGCTCGTTTGTTCTCATGGTAAATGATTGAGAAATTATTCTGGAAAGCCAAGCTTGTGGAGAAGCAAGGATTTTAAAAACCATTTCAATTCAGTGTCACATGCCAAGGCAATACTACCTGAGATGCAGTACATCTCTTTGTTGGGTTAACACACAAAAGAGCTGCTATGACTTCAAGGAGATCATCTGTGGCGGCCGAGAATATGTCATGGAGTGGGGTGCCAGGAAACTTCTTGAATTCTATGTAATCAGGTAAAAGTGTCATCCCCTGGAAAAAAGGAAAAGAGAAACATGGAGTGAGTTGATCCGTACACTAGCAGAAAAAAAGGATTCTGTACAGATTATCTCCAATTCTGTTCCATTCAAGTTAGCTCTACGGGAGGTGGACAGGAAATCTCTAAGATATAAATATCCTACCAGAATCAGTGAAACCTGTAGCCACTGCTACCAGTTTAAAATTGGTCATTAAACTCACAGGCCACTGTTCTTCGGTCACTGTGCCCAGGGTCTGGAATATTCTGGTCAGCTGATCTAGATCAGATTCTCCCGGTAGGAACGGTAATCTCAGGAGCAGCTCAGCCAGTATGCAGCCCAGGGCCCACATGTCCACCCCGACACCGTAGATTCGAGCTCCGAATAGCAACTCTGGACATCTGTACCATCTGCACGTTAAAGAGTAGAAATACTTAGCCTTGATACAGTGTCCACAAACTGTCTACAGAGTCAAATTCAACTGATGCAAAACTCACCCCAAAACAAGGTACTGGTGTCCTGAATTATTGGGGGTGTCACTTTTTGACTGAATAAATTGGTGGAATACGGGCGATTCACAATTGTGCGCCTCCAAGAGTTTGCAACGCATCGGCCAATCACAATGCGCGAAATCTGTCGACCCAATGCACGTTTGGAAAGATCAACAGATTTCGTGCATTGTGATTGACCAACGCGTTGCGAACTCTTGGAGGCCCACTTCTGGTAGATAAACAACTACCTTGTGACAACTTGATGTGTGTAAACTCTGTTAGGGCTACCATAGAACTTGGCCAGACCAAAATCTCCAATCTTGAGAATCCCATCGGCATCTATGAGTAGGTTGTTGGGCTTCATGTCCTGGAGGCAAGACAGAGGAAATTTACAGGATAGGATGCTGGGTAAATCAGCAGCAGCATTTCAACACAGAACAGGTTGAAGGGGGAGCTTTGGTTAACGGCACAGGTGAAGTATAAATTATCCTTGACAGTGGCTTTCACATGACAGTTACAGGGGCGGGCAGCCAGACAAACTGCCTGTTACACGTAACTGCATGCCAAAATGCTCTCTTCCTAAATGGTCACAGATCGATGAAGCAGCACCTACTCTGTGTAATATCCAGTGGTTGTGCAGGTATTCCAGGCCCTTCAGCGTCATGATCATGTAGGCTTTAATATCCGCTGGTTTCAAGACTAAGCTGTTGTCTTTGATAATGACCTGCAGAGTTGAACATGGGTGACATAAAGACAAAGTTAAGAGTTCAAGAGATGTCCAATAAACAGAATGTAACCTGTGATCTTTAACCCCTTTGCTACGGAGGATTGCTATTACCCCAACATTGTGTAATGATTAGTGCATACCACACATACAGTCTACTCGCCATGCAACTGCTGGTTCAATGGGGCCTGCTGCTGGACAAAGCCCTCCATTCATGGCATGCCACAGCCCAGCAGTCGCGGTCAAAATAATCCCGCCGTGAAGGGGTTAACCCACATACTTCATTAGACACTGTACAATGTCATGTCAACATTTTGAAGTTCACATACTTATCTGGAGATAAACACAGCTTGCTGAATAGGTCGTTCATATTTGCATTAGCCATCATGCAGTGATCCCAACATGTTAGTAGTTCTGTACCAACACATCTTTTCTGCCCAGGTTATGGGAGATTAAGTGTGATCACAGGTTGGGAGCTTAAAAGCTGAGAACTCATTTGCATACTATCTAAAATGGTCTAACAGAGAGGGACTCAGCATCTATTCATCATTCATAAATACCTCAGACAGTCTTCCTGTTCAACAAAACGTAACTGGACCGTGTCTTAACATTTGATAATGCCCACTGCGTAAAAAAATGCTCTCGTACCTGGATTCAAGAGAGTTTACTCCATCCCTATTGGTCAAGAGTCTGCATGTGACGCAGCACGCAGAAAGTGCCACACGCGCGCCAACCAGTGCATCAGGAGATTCAATTGGACAACTTGCAAAAGGAACATATCATAAAATGATAGGAATGTTCAAGAAAATGGAAGTAGAATTTAGAACAATATCATTGGAAATCCACCATACATGTATGTTGACTTCTTTTGACTCTCTGAATAAAAAGGTATTTATGAATGGAATAAATATGTGCTTGGCCAGTCTTAAACTAACGTTTAAAACCTTGCTCAGGAGAATGAATGCTGATAATGCCCTTGCCTGCGGCTGGGCAGTAGTTGCATCCATTCTCCTGAGCCAGTCTTAAACGAGTGTTTAAGACTGGCCAAGCATGTATTTATTCCCTTAGCATAAAACTAATGGAGACAGCAAAAACAGCTATTCCCAAAATAACCAGTGAGCAGGAACTAGACACTAACAAACTGGGTGACAACCAACATAGGGCTGGATAGACTAGTTAGTAGAATGCAATCATTTCATATCCCATGCCAGCAAATTTCCCTTTATACCTAATAGTGAAACTTGAAAATAATGTGCAGAGCTGATTATGGTCAGGGAGCAAAGCCTCGGGGTCTAGACTGACACTAATGAATTGACTCAAAATATCTTACCTCTAAATCTGTGTCCATGAAATCGAACACTAAACTGATGTTGGACTTGTGCCCAAAGACATCGAGCAACTATGAAAACAAGAACACAAATGCAGAAATATTCAAGAGCCTCGACCTTAGAACCGGGATCAGAAGCCATTTTCATGATGGGACGTTAAATAAATCCTGTTTTCTACTTGAACAAGTATCAAGTCTGGGATGCTGATAAGGGTTTGTGATCTACCCCGATGATGTTGTCATGCTTCAACTCCTGAAGTAGCTTGATTTCTCTCAGGGCAGTGCGGTTAACGCCATCTTTTGCTTCGCTCCGATGACCAAGCTTGATCTGTGAAGGAAGTACATATATATGCACCAGTCATGTTCAAAACTGACAATCAATCCAACATGCAGCTAAGTAGTGATTTCTCACTGCAACACCTCTAGGGCTTGAAATCGGCAACAGCAAGCAGCTTAAATATCTGTCTGTAACTTTCCCAAATGCTCCCATGTGCCCTGTTGCCGAGAGCAAGCATTTGCCCTGATAGTCCTGAGTCCTTGTATTAGAAAATTAAGAACTTTTAGGATTAATGTCCATTTTTCATATATCAGATACACTCTGGGTCAGTTGATCACATGATCCAGCCCCAATCGGACACTCCCGGTGTGATTCTGACCAGAAATAAAGCCAAGTCTCTCCGCTTGTACATGTATATCTTACTCCGTGCATATGTACATGTAACTTATCAACTGCTGTAGAGCCCTTGTGAATCTACAATACCCACAACTCCAACGCCCCTCATGTGTCATTGAATGTACCAGTACTGTCCAAAGTGGGATGAGAAGTTCTATTTAATTTTGAGTCCTGAATCTATTAAAAAATTAAAAACTGAGCATAACCAGATGTAAGATTTGAATTTAATGGCGAGAGGTGGGATCAGTAAATGAAGAATCCAAATGGGTGAGCATTATGCTCGGTGACCAGAATGAGAAGCTGCAGGCTTTAGTTCCATACAGGAACATCACTAATTTTTCTCTACAGAGGTACCCTATATATAACCCATCAGAAAGCAAAAACATGTCTTTAGGAGTCAAATTAAATGGGGAAAATATCAAAGCATTTACATGGAAAACACTAATTTTTCAGACCAGTCTAATAGAAAAGTGGTACATGCCTCTTAGATCCAAAAGGATTCCGTGATTTACGCCTTTTGCCAAGTGCATGTATGCATGAGTCTGGTACCACCGTAGTGGTTAAATCAATAAGGAGAAGAGAACAGGTGGACTGGTGGATATGACCAAACATTTTGACACTATCTGCCACAAGCTTACATACCTTTTTAACAGCTACAATTCTGTTGTTGGCTTCAATATCTTTGGCTTTGTACACTGTTGCAAACTGGAAAGAAAAATAAACACATATACAGGTACTTATTTCATTCTCCTGATCCTTTATTTCCAAATGCTAAATTTGGTTGTTTCACTTCTTGCTGGCTATAACATCAACCGCAGGGCGTTCAGTTTATCACAGGCATAGTTAAATTAAACAGCACTGTCCATTAAGTATTGGTAATCTGCAGGTACATGTATATGTACTTGTTTAAAGTTTGAGATTTAGAGCCAACAAAGTGCTACAGTGCCTTGATATGCATGTTCCTCATAAATACGGTATCAGGTTAAACCACTTCATTTTTTAACTAATGTTATTTAGGTTCGTTAGGCCCATTTTATTTTGGAAAGAGTTCCTTATACGGACAACACTTGATGCTCCTGTGTACAAACTTATGAGACTTGTCTGAAAAAACTAAGTGTTTTCTAAGTAAATGCTTTCAAATTTTTCTCAGATATGTTCCAGGCTTCCTCCACCAGATACTTCTATATTACCTCCATACCTGCCAGCACCACCTGTGCCTGTAATACACTGGAATCAGATATACAGTTAACTTCGTAAGCTGAACACAACCAAAGCCTCTCATCCTGATGACTGTCCCACAAGACTTTTGAAGGAATTTGCATTTGAACTTTCTGAGCCACTTACCATTTTTTAACTTGTCTTAGTTCTGGGATTTTCCCAATTATTTGGAAAAATGCTTCAGTTTGCCCTAATCCTAAAACAACCTGAGTTACCAGATTCGACCAACTTCACCCTATCTCCATAACGTCTGTAATAGCCCAAATTTTGGAAGGTTTCTTGGCAGACTGAATTATGAGGGACATCAGACTGGTTATTGATCCTCAGCAATTTGGGAATATGAACGGTAGCCCAATCAACCATTATCTCATTAGTATGCTTGATATTATCCACAATGGCCTTGATAAAGCTGGCAACTTTGTAAATCTATGTGAGATAGATTTTAGCAAAGTTTTTGATCATATCAATCACACAAAAGCAGTTGAAAAGCTTATATATTTTGGTGTTGACGGATCTCTCATTCCAACAATATGTATTTTTTATCACATCACTCTCAAACTGTTCATTTTCGGGGATGTACTTCCACCCCTATCAGTCTCACTTGTGGTGTCCCACAAGGCACAAAACTAGCACCAATTATCTTCCTTGCCATGGTTAATGATGCTGCCCAGACACTGACAAATCGCTGGAAATATGTTGACGACCTCAGTCTTGTTGAGATCATAACCAAGCAGCAATCATCGAGTATTCAATTGCATATTGACTCACTTGTAGAGTGGTGTTCCAAAAACGGTATGAAACCAAACCCAGCAAAATGCCAAGCTGTGCAGATCTCATTCCTTTGCAACCCACCTCCTCCGCTGCAACTCAAAATTAATGACGTCCAACTTGAGGTCGTTTCATCTATTAAACTTCTAGAAGTGACCATCCAAAATGACCTTAAGTGGGACCAGCAGGTTCAGCAACTCATTGCAAATGCCTCACGTAGACTTTACATTCTTAGCCAACTTAAGAAAAATGGTGTTAAAATTGACAACCTCATCTTAATCTATAAGAGTTACATTCGCCCTACACTTGAGTATGGTGCAGTGGTGTGGTCTTCGGGTCTCACTTTTAAACCAAGATCAAACTATTGAAAGAATTCAGAAGCGTGCACTTCGCATAATCCTTTACCCAAATATCTCAATCTCGATGCTCTCAAACTCTTGAACATCCAATCAATTTCAGACAGACATGCTGACCTCACCACTTAATTTGCCAAAAGCTTGCTCACCTCTGAAAACATTGTCACATGCTTCCAAACCCAAGACTCTCTCACCAAACCAACCAAAATACCATGCCCTGAATCAATACTCAAAGATATAGACAATCTTCTGTCCCCTCTATGATCAGATTAATTAATTCTCAGTAGCTGTGGTTTTTAGGTGTTCATATGTTCTTGTACCTCTTATCTTATTTCCATTTTAATTACCCAAATTTTATCTACAATGTAAGTCGTTGTTACAAATCTGTCAAAATCTGACCTTTTTCATTCAACACATGCACAGCACTTAAACTTTTCGCCGCCTCCTCCCATTCAAATACGGGCATGTAGACTTTCTGACCCAATAAGTCGATGAATAAAAATGGTCCTCTAACAAAACCGCAGGAGAGGCCCATTTGTAGTTGGGGCACAAGATGTACTTACCAAGAAACAGTCGTTGGTAGCGCTCCCAAACGTCACCATCAACAAGTCTTGTGTCCAGACCACGTAAAGCCCACTTATGCATACGTCTTGGAGGACCATATTCGTCCATAGACTTATTGGGTCAGAAAGTCTACACGCCCATATTTGAATGGGAGGAGGTGGCGAAAAGTTTACATGGTTTAAGCCTAAGTTATTAAGTAAGTGCGTTTGACGTTGGCATTTACGGAAGCCAGCAGTAGGTGGTGATGAAAGTATTTTTGGCGAGTCTTTGGAATTTTTGAGAACCGTTTTCACCTTACTCTATGTACAGGCGTAGAACATTAGTATGACAATCCTATTCAAAATCATAAAAAGAGGAATACTAACACTCCACCTCAGTAGAGCTATTCTCAGCTCTGAACTTGAACTTGAGTAGAACATGAAGAAGGTGCTGGACGATTGTATGTCGTGCCAAATAAACGAAGACAAAACAAAATCGCAATACTTTTTATTTGTCCCTACTTACTTAATCATTACGTGCATATGGGAGACAACAACTACATACCTGCCCTTCGCCAAGAAAGTCGATTTTTTCATAACGTTTTGAGCGATCACCAGCAAGGGCACAGCGTGCTGCCATGATGCAAAATGATAACTAACGAGGGCGGTATAACAAATAGTAAACTTGTCTCAATCGACGTATACGAAAAGGGTGTGCCCTCACGGAATTTCAAACATTCGATTGCCGTTTCAGGGACAAGATGGGGTTTCTCACAGCACCTGTTAAACATGCAGCAACTGTCTTTTTCTTCCAGAGTCATTTTTCACGGTGGCCGATTTGGAATAGCCTCAATCAGTAAGTAATGAAATGGGGGACCAAAGCGAAAAACTGTGAAGGGGAGGGGAACTAGTTTAATAAATACAATCTCCACAACTTCGTCCCCACAGTGGTAAATAGGCGAAGTGAATTTCAACCTCGTTTTGACGGCGTATTAAATAGAAAGTGCTTCTAATGTACATGTACGACAACACACAACTCGACAACATGGGACAAGGCAGTGCGGGTTTGAGTAATGACAAAAGCTCAGCAAGTGACGTGTGAGGATAGAGCGATTTTATATAACTCTATGCGTGCGAGGGACCAAGTGTTCTCCATAGGAGCCAATCAGAATTTAGGCAAATCAAGCGCCTTTCTCCGGTCCCACTGAGACCAACATAGAAGTAAACACTGGGAACGTTTGACAATTATACGAAATCCATCAATCAAGCAACGCAAAGGCCACTTTGTACTGGTACAACAGCTGATCTGTGGCTTTTATTTTCAAGAAGAGAAACATGCCGAAAAAAAGCACCGTAGTTGTAACTGGTGAGACAGAATTGTTTTGAAGTTTTCTCACCTTGCTCAGTAGATTTTGGAATGCATATGCAGAGTTATTTATGTAGCTTGTAATCTGCACAAAATGATATCGGCTTAATCACATGAATCGTGAACGTGATGCAGAATGTTCGGAAGTCGTTTCGAGTACCATTTGGCCTGTGTTTGGCATAGGCTACATCAGTACATGCAACAGCTAGCTGCGTATACCCCCCCGGAAAGTCTCATTTTATTCTGTCTTCATGTCATTGGCCCAATGATATTCCTGAAGGTGGCTTGTCACCGGGTCTAAGCATAAACTTTGTCTTTAAACATAATGACATAATGCCATGACCTGTAAATTAAGGTTTATGCAACTATCAAGGAATGTCCTTCCCGCCCTCCATGATGCAACCAAACTGCATTTGCCCTGCATTGCATCTTTTTTTGTTACTTGTGGGTCTTTTAATATTATAGCTGTTGTTTTCACCAAATGTTTTAATTTGTCATGTTTACAAGTGTCATATACATACTGTACATGTATCTTAGTGTATTGTGCATCCCCTTCAAAGAACGTTGATATTGTTACACCCCAACTACAGCATCAATCCTAACTATAGTTGGGCCCGTCCCAACTTGAGTGCTATAGTTGGGCCTGCCCAATCATATTGTTTACCATGTCATGTCATAGATGAAGTGCCATATTTTAGGTGAATTGTGTCAAGGGTGAGATGCATAAACTTGGATAAGGTTTGAAAATTTTCTACAGAAATTGGTCAACAACAGTTGGGGTAGCCCGACTGCAGCATTACAGTTAGGACTGTCCCAGCTGTAGTTGGGACAGATGCTATAGTTGGGGTGTAACAATAGTACTGGGTTTAAATTGCAGTCATTCTTGGGATCAAGTTTGCAAAGAAATGAATTTTTTTTTCTAAGATTAGACTATGTACTGAAAGAACTTGAAATGTGCAACAAAATAAGTGATTAGTTGATTGAAAGAAAGAGTTCCATATGAGAACATCACTAATTTTCCCAGTAGTAGTTTATCAGCCATCACTATTAACATGTCCTATAGAGTCAAATTCAGTAGGAAAATATTGAGGCATTTCCATAGAAAACACAGAATTTTTCAGACCAGTCTCACTGGGTTTGTGCACAGGCTGTTAAATAATGCCTATAAAACTCTTTCCCATTTGAATTGTACCAATGTTTTATTCTGTCTCCGTCAAGGTTTTGGTCCCTTCTGGGAGCACAAAGTGAACGCCAGTTGGTCAGCGGTGCAGGAGTTGGACCGGCTAGGGTTGGAAGATGAAGACGTGGAGCTCATCACCTTTGAGATTGCAGTGGAGTACGAGACAGCTAAGAAGTTGGTACCACAGCTCTGGAAAGAATACGACCCTTGTGTGAGTTTCTTGCAGACTTCTGAATCGTTAAGATTGTTTTCAAAAGGACATCATGTCAGACAGTAATATGCTCAGAAATCTCTGAAATCCATGCATGTAAGTTCTCCAACACAGCATACTTCAAAATGTTCCTCGACTTTCCTCATGTAGTGTTGGCAAACATCTTTGTTGAAATACTGGTACTTCAAATTCATTCCGATTGATACTGGTGCCACCATTTGATACGTACTTTTGAAGCAATTTCGTCGTCATGAATGTAGTCCGAAATTCAAAATCAGAATCAAATCAGAAAATCGGGCACAAATTCAACTGAGTGTGTCGTAACATGGCGCACTTGGAGGAATCTAAGGAAAATCCCACATTTATATTTAAGAATTTCTTGAAAGTTGATAAAGTCTAATAGATTATTATTGAGTCCACTCACATGTCCAACCTGTACAGTGTAAGAAAATCTTTTTTTTTTTAGTGCATTTTCAGAATTTGTTGTGAGCTTCACACAAAAATTAGGAAGTTAAGCCGAACCAGATTTTCATTGGAACTTTGTAGTACCGGTAGGGACACGTAAGTCAGCTCAAGATTTATCAATGGGAATGTTGAGAGCTTGATAACATTTCACTTGTAATATTTGAGGTAAAATTAATGCTTTTGCAAGGCACTAGATGTGAAAATTCAAAGTACCCTGTACACCACATTAGGGGCTGCATTACATTAGGGTATACCAACAATCCTATGAAATATCTGTCAAACAAAACTCATACCAACTTGACTCAATTTCACTGAATTCTGTGTACGAGTATATTTATTTCTTGCATGTGGATTTGCTAATAATAAGGGTTTTTATGTTCACGAGAGAAGCACTGATGCCACAGAGAAGAGAGCTGTTGTTGAACAATGTTTGTCGGTAGATTTGTGCAAGGAAGATCTTGATTCTTCCCTAGTTTATCACTAAAACTTTGAATAAAGTTTACAGTACCAATAGGGAAACATCCATTCAGTTTTTCATCCCAAACTAAAAAAAAATGGATTTTGCACAGTTTAAGACAGTTATCCTGCCACTCCTAATGCACACACATGGGACGTGATGATGATCGTTTCTATTTTAAAGCACCAAAAAGTCGCCATGGTTTGCTGTAGCAATGGAAGCCTCAGAGGGCTCGGAGGTGGTTATGGCTTATCAAAATTTAAAAGGAGTTCGCATTTCTGGGCCACATTTTTTTTCGTTCTGTCCTCACGAATACTGCATTATAAATGCTGCTGCATGTAAGCTTCTTATTTGGGGGGGGGGTCACTGGAATGCAGAACAGCATTTCATCATATTTTAAGAAATAACAATACTGATGTCTCAGTAAAAGGACGTGAATTAAAAGTGAACTTGCCATATTGTCCAAACTGCAATGTACTTGTTCACGGTACATGTATTCAGGATCACTGATACAATGCATTGATATAATTTTAAAACGTGATTTTGCGCCTACACCTTTCTGTGGAAAGTCAATTAGCACTTGATTTTATTAGGTTTGATTTCACTTTCTGTCCTCGCCTGTAGCTTATGGTGCATGTGGGTGTGTCAGGCATAGCAAAGGAGCTCACATTGGAGCAGCAGGCACACAACACGGGCTACGACAAGCCCGATGTCAGTTTCCTCGTTCCAAAGTCAAAAGTAAGTTTCCTGACGCAGTCCAAGCTGGAGAAGTGTTAGAAGAACCTGCCCCTTTGTGTTCAATGTCCAAATGGGATCATTTGTCTAGTTATTCTGTGGTTCCTTTTGCACTTGACATGTGCACCTGTATAGAGTTCTTTGACCCTTGACACAAAGTAATCAACTCTAGATAGAGTCTGACTGTAGTCAGACTGCTTCAGCTGTTGTCAGTTAACGTTGCATTGATGGAAAGTTATGGATGCTGTAACAAACTGTGGGGCTCTTCATAATTATCAAAATAGCCAATTATTCTGGCCACGGCGAGTAACAGGGACTCAATAGACAACCAGCACGCAAGACATTGGATTCGGGTCTTGAAATTTTATATTTGATGATAATCTCGCATATGGTAAACTGTAAATTAGCAGGATAAACACCATGTGCAAATAATTAACATCCGCTAAACCAATGAGGCACAAAGGTCAAATGTGACACTGATAAGTAATGCAGGAAACAAATTGGCTTATGTAAAATAACATACGAAAGGATCCAGCAAAAGAACAATTTGAATACCAGTGTGTAAAGCAGTGACAAAAGTGGACCAGGAATGAATTAATTGAAAAAATAGGAACATGAGCGAGTACACACACACAAAACCAGTGTACATGTAGTGGAGGCGAATACAAAATATTTGAACTCAACATTATCTATACAGAATCAGGAAACAAGATCTCGACAAGTGGTTAACAGTATGCGGGCTAAATCAACTGAAATACATGTGTAACACCGTTGGAGGGTAAAAACTTACAGAACCGTAGCCTCCGAGAGTGCAGAGCTAAGCTGCCAAGAATAGACCTCTTAAGTGAAGATCAAAATGTGGTGTAACCTGGGAGGCAAATGATCAACAGACTCCTTAAGCAAACAACAAGATTAAATAAGCTCAAAAAACAGTTACTAATACTTAAGAGCTGAGGAGTATATTCTGTGTCACCTCTCCTTAGTGCAGACAACTAAATAACATCAAGGATGGGTATATAGACGAGCAAACTAAATATGAAAACAAGCATCGCACATGGTATATGCGAACATACCCAGAAACAACAAGATGGCAGATGACATGATATAGAACATACAAAAAATGACAAAGATGTTGATTTTAAGGGTGTTTGCAATAACAATAAGACTTGAATCAAGAACAAAACTCACAGGTGATTTATATCAGAAGAATCAAGATGCAGAACGAATACTGTCAAGCCGAAAAAAACAGAGGATTATTGAGAGAAATTCTGACGTGTTTCGTCAGTAGGATCTTCGCGCAAAAAAACCCAGCACTTCTGGAGGGTGCTGTAGCGATTTAAAAGTCACAACTCGAGAGTCCACTCTGCGGTCAGCACAGCAATCTTTACAAAAGCTGGATCACTAGTACCTACATGTACAGTGGGGATTCATGAATACAAGAGGTCCACATAATGCAATTTGTATGAACCATTTGTGGACTGAGACAGATTTCCCCATTCAGGAAAATGATTTCAGAGGCATTTTTGGGATTAGGGTTACCTGTAGTAGGAGGAAGAGGAACAGTTAGGGAAATCATCCACAAATGACAAGTTGATCACAGTGCAAAGAAAAATGAGTGTGTTCATTGAGGTTATTATTTAAAGAAAAAACAGGATTGTCCATGTAAACATGGCTGGGGCTGAGCTGGTATGTGGGGGCAAGCACACTCAAGACTTTAGGAAGTGGCTACAGCCTCTGGCTAGCAACTCCCATTGGCGTATTATTTCCAGCCAGAGCCATATAATTCAGACGCGGCCACACACTCTGCATACTTATGACTGTCTCACCCTAAATATCCTAAAGCATATCGTCCAGTGCGCCAGATGTTTTCATGCCTTGCCCTCTCAGTCACATTCCCAAGGTTGCAGATGAGTTTAACATCCTAAATACATGCACTGCTCTCTTATATATTTTTACAAAGAGGTGGAAGTAAACACGGGAGGGGGGGGGACAGCTTGATGGTGCCCACTCATCATGGCTAACAAGATAGCAGTATTTGCTACAGTAAGCCAATGATTCAGTAGAAATCTGCAACCAATCAAATGGTCTCGATGCATTCTTGTCATTTTTATTCTCTTCCTACCCTAACATTCTTCTGATTATTATAGTGTTGTATTAGAGATGGTCCTGACTGTATACTTAGCCAAATCAACATGTCCATCGTCTCTGATGAAGTCAACTCAAACAGCTGTCCCACCAAAGCAGTTGTGTCTTACAATGCCGGAAAGTAGGTCCAACACCTCCTTTTTTTTTTTCAAAAATATTCATGTAAAATGTTGATGATTAATGTTATCAATAACAGCTTACTTTCAGTTTGTATTGATTGAGCGGAAGACTTATTTAATTTTTTTATGTGAAAATACAAGGGGGTCAAGCCTCCACACATTTTAGTCATAGAAAAGACTAACTTTAGTCTTTATTTCTGTGAAGGGTCCTCGTACAAAATTTTTCGTACATCATTCATTAAAATTTGATACTAATAAAAATGTGATCTTCCAAAATTGTGCACCTTGGCTAAAAAAATTCCTTGTTACACAGACATGTTTCAATGATTTTCATTTTTTCCGTCTTTATTTTTCGTGACCAAGGTACCTGTGCGATTTTGTCTACTACATCTCCCTCTACCAGAACTGTGCCCAGACTGCCTTCATCCACGTCCCGCCCTTGGGCAAGCCTTACTCCGCCCGCCAGCTGGGTGAAGGGTTACGAGCCGCCATACGCAGCATGCTCAAGCAGGTGCGGCAGACCAAAGGTGAAATTTTGTGATGTTGGCCGTCCAGTTTGCAGACTTGGTATGTTTTAATTTTATTCATCGTAGGGTTTTTGTCTTCTTGCTCTTCAGTGGCCGTAAAGCAAGCAGTTTGGTGAAAATGTATACCTCTATTTTGTCCTGAAGAAAGTGTTTTGTAGATAATAAAACAGGATGGTTAGACCTTTGTTTTTTACTCCTTTCAGCTTTTTAGTCACATGTGCATGTAAGTTTTTAAAATCCTTTTGGGACCAGTAGCATGACCCACTGTCATAGTGGAGTCCATTGTCAATCCCGCTAAGTCCATCACAAGTCATCCGGTCCTAAGTCAAGTCGCAAGCTATTGAAATGAACTCGGACAAAAGCCTTCCTTTGTCATTGTCCCTCCCGCTACTTGTGATGGTCTTGTGACTGGTCTTTTGAAAGGACTTGTGACTGGTCTTGTAAAGGGACTTGTGGCTGGTCTTTTGAAAGGACTTGTGACTGGTCTTTTGAAAGGACTTGTGACTGGTCTTGTAAAGGGACTTGTGACTGGTCTTTTGAAAGGACTTGTGACTGGTCTTGTAAAGGGACTTGTGACTGGTCTTTTGAAAGGACTTGTGACTGGTCTTGTAAAGGGACTTGTGACTGGTCTTTTGAAAGGACTTGTGGCTGGTCTTATGGAGGGACTTGTGACTAGCCTTATGGAAGGACTTGTGACTGGTCTTTTGAAGGGACTTGACCTGCAGATCCGACATAGTGTCGGCATTGCATGGAATAACCTGGAAATCGGACAAAGTGTTCATGTTCATGTTTGTGGCATAACTCAGACGAGCTGATCAAACCAGATACAGAGGAAAAGTGGAAGTTTTTTAGATTAAGACTATTAGATTCAGACTCAGACTATTTGTACATGTTAGTCACATCAGATGTACCGGTATACCAGTGTACTTGGATTAATTTCAGAGTTCAAACAATGGGGAAAGGAGAAAATAAGAAGAACAATAATTTCTTTGATTTGGTGCTTGCAATTACATCCGTGTGCTTGTACCGTCTAAAAGTTCAACTTGAAGTGCTCCCAGGGTTATCAAAGTAAAGTTTTGAAATGTGCTTCAGGAATGGTTTCATCAAGACGGGGTCACGTACCCAACTGTTAATAGAACTGTGGCACTTGTATTCTTATAGCAAGCAAGTTTTCTTGTAGCTACATGTACATGTGCGGGTACTTGTCTAATGAAACTTCTCATACATGACCAAACCCACTAGACAATAATGGTGCTAAAGCATAGGTCAGTAATAGTAGTGTGAAGTGCAGTTTTAAAGCTGGTGATGTATTTTCACACCAGAGCCATTCCTCAGATGAGATTTAGGTATATTAAGAACCAAATATTTTGGTTTGGTGTTGTCAAGTCCGTCACAAGTCTTCCAGTCATAAGCAAAGTTACAAGCTACATGTGTTTAAGTGAAGCGTGACAAAAGCATTCCCTTGTCACTGTTCACCCTGTTACTTGTGACTGGACTTGTGTGGGGACTTACTACAGGACTTATGATGGATTCCACCACAATACTGCTTCAGTGGGATGCCTGGGGACATCCACCACATGTAGAAGTCAAATCGTGGCAGGTTTTTATTGTTAATTTTTGTTCACATATCACCACTACAGACAGACACCTACATGTAAATGAAACAAAGCACTCTTCTTGTTCTCGGAATCTCTTGTTCGGAACCGTCCTTGAAGGTGTGTGTAGGGGATCAGCAGACGGGAGCGCGTTATCAGAACGTAGAGAGAGACAATTTCTTGTCCTCTGAGTTTGCAGTAAAATGATTGGTTGATTGTGCGCAAGCTACAGTCTGTTTTGATCTAAAAGTGTGTGATGAATCTTTTATTAAATCTAACCACCCAAGGGTTGCTAGACCTAACCTTCCCCAAACACACAAACTTCAATACTTTGGAAAAACACTCTTACCTCACAGTACCCAATCCCACAGACTTCAACAGGTCTTTACCTGTGTGATTTTGTTTGATTGGGTATTGCAGGCCCATTGCACAGTACAAAGAGTATGGACAGGCAGTACCTATTCAAACAAACTAACACACCATCATGCTGCATATCCATCCCCGGCTGCTGGGATCATTGTGGTCAGAAACAATGAAGATTGTCCTCTTATGGTATTTATTACATACATGTAATATTACATACAGTACTTCATACCATTTCAATGGGAAGCTTTCTATCATTACATAATCTTTAAAAATACAGCACTCATTTGGAATTCTTGATGGTAAAAAGTGATGGCAAAAACACAGAGGGCCACAGTACCCATTCAGTCCAAATTCAACAGGGTATGTGCAGGTCCACAGTACCCATTCACACAAAATTAAACATGAGATAGCAAGCTACCAGTACCCAATGCCACAAACTCACACACTTTACTGGTGTTGAATTCTGTGTGGTTAGGGAAGGAAAAAAAAATCAAAAAGTTTTGTAATTTATATCAAAACCTGCATGTATCGACTTTGTCAAAAAGTTGATGCGTGTACTTCATTTTTTTTACCAGTGTACTTTTTACGTTTCAAATTTGAATTCTTTGCAGCTCAATAACTTTGTGTCACACAACTTTTTACTAGTTTGTCAGGCAAGTAACAACTTGTAAAAAAAAAGATTATCCAGCAAGTTTCCCACTTGGCTGCTTGAAACATCAACATCTTGCCTGTACAGAACTGAGATTTGCTAGGAAGTGTATTGTGAAAGGATAAACTCACCCCATTGATTTTCATCATTTTTTTCAAACTTGATATTTAATGTAAGTTTTTCCCCTACACGTTTGTATGCAGAGGTGAAAGAAATACAAGGTTAATCAGTGTTTTGCTTTGTATAATTCAGTTTTACAGGTCTCTAAGGTTTACTTTGTAAATTGCATTCTTTTCATCTATGCACTCCCAATGTGATATATCTGTAATGAATTGTATATTATGTTTTTGACATTTTAAGATATGGGGAAAGTCAACTTACTTGTCTTTATTTGCCATGTTTAACTGTTCAATCACTAAGTATGTAAAAGAGTGAAATACTTGCATAACGTTCCACTAGCTTGAACTGTGTTACTATTCACCAACATTGGCAATGTTTGCAACAAGGACGAAAGGCTTTCCTGTAACTTTTTTCAACATTCATGTACCTGACTTGAGTGTCACACTTCATCAGCAGTGGTTTCAATATGCCCCTGCTGCATGTGAAATTCCCTAATTTATTCATGTACCATCAGCAAAAGTAATTTTTTTTCAGGAATTTTAGAATATGCTATGGTGCTTGTCGAGGAACTACATGTACATGTACCATTTTGGACAAACACATTCTTAATAATTGTTCCAATGAAGATTTGCATGTTTCCCAGTTTGTAGGTAATGCTAAAACAAGTGTTTTATAATTGATGTGACTGCAACTCAGCCCTGGTAATATTAACAAAAGACCCAAGCAGGTTTGGACTTCTGGAAGTCAACCTGAAAGGTAGACATATTGAACCTTTTTAAATTGTGAATAGACGTTTAAAGTTCAGCTGCTGCTTCAGTTATCACCATCTTTGCCAAATGTTGCTTGGCGCGAAAGCATTGTGGGACATGTATGTTAGTGGCAGGGCACAAGGGACGCCCATCGCCCGTTAAAAAGCATTACCACAGTGCTTTGTACCAAGATGGCTGCATCCATGGAGCAGTAGATCAAGTGATGCATTCTGGAAAGTGGCGTCGTGTAACTAAGAGGCTGGCCATGGTTTATTTGTGGTGCATTTACACCAAATTTAAAACAGTGACAGACATTATCAAGATACTAGTATATTGGGTCTTACACTGTTTTTTAGGTAAATTTTACGAGCTGCAAAGAGAAAAGTAGCTAATACAGGCTTAATGTATGCAGCAGCTCAAATTCCACATAATCATGTTTATAAATTGCTCAGAATTACATGTACATGTATTTCACAGCTTATGATTTAGTACCTACATGTACAGCACATATTGGCAGAGTGTTAGTATCTGCCCAGAGTATGATCATGTACCTACTGGTACTCAGTACCATCACAGAGAGTGGGTCTTCATTTATTTCTCCTTTTAGGGGGAGGTGTTGCTATCTACTCATACTTCCAAGCCCAGCAGCTGTCTGATCAGCAGCTGATCAGACAGAATGTTTTGTATAGATACTGGTGTGCTATCTGCCATTCACAGTGTGCGTAGGTTTATGCAGGTAGGACAAGTGCACTGTCTAATATGGACAGGTGGTATTTTCAAAGGGAACATTTCCGAATGTTCCATATTCTTCTCAAGACAATTCGCCGTGGGTATACCATCTCACAGAGCAGGTGAATGCCCATGAGGCAGCATCCTATGTGGACAGCAACAACACGGGGCTGTGACAAATAGCTGTAGCCACTGGCTTGCGTTGGTGCTTGTGTACTGTCCAGGAGAAGCCGAGTAACAAGGCTGTGTCCAAATTACTTGGCTGCAGGTTGAAAGTGCACATGAGTCTACCTAGTGGTTGCAGCCTTTACCCATAGAGTCATGTGTAATTTCAAGCCACAGCTTAGTCACTCAGAGATTGTCTCGTTGCACGGTCAAACGTTTGTCTGCAGCACTGCACGTTTCTTGCTACGAGACCATAGGCACAGGCCTGTAAAAATGCCAGTGAGGATTTCTCTTCAGTGTTTGCTACATGTAGAAGCATGGATCTATACACAGAGGTATATTTTGATAGTAAAAAAATGCATGGATTTGAACAAGTTATGGCATTCAGTGCTTCAGCATTAGACAAGTGCATCTATTAAATTAAACATTTGCCTGTCTTTATGTGGCTTTTTCCAAAACTGTTAGTGCTTAATTAACACTTTTCTTAAGATCAAACCAAATATACATATACATAGCTGTTGCCTTTGTACTTTGTAAATATTATATATACTGATATTTATTACCATAGCTGACTGTTACACCTGTACCAGTGTTACACTTGTACCAGTGTTACACCTGCACCAGTGTTTCACCTGTACCAGTGTTACACCTGTACCAGTGTTTCACCTGTACCAGTGTTACACCTGCACCAGTGTTTCACCTGTACCAGTGTTACACCTGCACCAGTGTTTCACCTGTACCAGTGTTACACCTGCACCAGTGTTACACCTGTACCAGTGTTACACCTGTACCAGTGTTTCACCTGTACCAGTGTTACACCTGCACCAGTGTTACACCTGCACCAGTGTTACACCTGTACCAGTGTTACACCTGTACCAGTGTTTCACCTGTACCAGTGTTACACCTGTACCAGTGTAGTGAGAGCAGTGATTGAAATGTTTGCAATAGTAGTCTCGTTATTGAACTTGTCACAAGATGTCAGTACGGTAGATTAGTTCAAATTTCAGGAAGCAACTGTCATATGGGTAATTCCAGAAATAAGGGGTCCAAAAGTTTGACATTTTCGT